CAACAGTTGACCGATTAATAATAACTTCAAATAATAATAATAATTGTATTTTATGTAACTGAACTGTATGCTGGATTATCCTTTACTAGTATATCATCAGCAGAACTGTGCGTGTGTGTTTATAGACATAATGTAATAGTCAATAGTGTAACTAACTTTGTTTTCAATTCAGTTGTAGCATAAGCTGGACTGCATTCCATGACAATGTCATTATTTGATTTTCTATTAATTTTTAAAATTATCGATAATTTAGCAATGGATGTATAAATCTATATACATACCTCTTTTGATTAATGTTAGTTAACTAATTATCTACTCTTGCTTTTATGTACAAAACTAGGGCCAGTATAATTATTATAATTATAGCAAGTATTATAAAGCAGTAAAAATGACACTTAGGCCAACTATCACTCCAGTATTTACTCCAATATTCACTAATACAGTAGTCAATGCAGTAGTCATGGTAGTTGTCTCAGTGGAATAAGAAATTATACAAAATAAGCATGAATCAATACATGTGTTTACTCATGCTTAATGGCACTATTGATGACATTACTTTAAATAAACTGACCAAACATTATATTACTATTATGTACTGTCTTACTTGTTGATGATCCTGTAACAGATGAAGTGCTTGATAGAATAGTAGGAGTTAGACTAACACCTAAATACATGAAATGAGTAGTATTAATGAAGTAACTCTTCCTAGTATAACCTGGTGGCAAATGATTCCATTAACATTAAATGATGTAGATATAGAGAGCAAGTAGTTCAGATTAGGATCTAATCCTCCTATTAAACCTTCAGTAGTATCACCTGGGTATTCCCAGGTGATACTACTGAAGGTCTAATAGGAGGATTAAATACTCTTATTCTTGTCTCTACTTGTCTCTTTTTCTTGAGTTCTTCATCTTCAAGGCGTATTGTGAAAAGCAGTGGAGGTACTGAGTTGTATAGTGAAGGGGCTCAGTTAAGGAGCTTATCTGCAATCCTCAGAACT